GAAAGCTGCGATGGCTCTTCAGAATACCCTCAATCCACTATTCAGTCTTAGTCTTACAAAAATGTTACTTGACATGGGCTTCCTGCCCCCTCCCTACCACACACCAAGAAAGTGGCATGGCCCTATATAAGGAGGTCACCAAAAGGGCAATTTTCACAGAGACTTCACTTTGTTCTGAGTGACACAGTCATGAAAGAGGTGATGTGGGAGACACACCACAGCTGCACTTACTACAGATGTGGTTCTGGCCCTTTCTGCTCCTCCTTTGAAGTCTGAGGAACTCTTTTAAAAGACTCTTCGTAGACTTTGCCTTGCCTATAATGAACTTGAGGAAATGATCTAGAAGGAAGTGAGCTGGTCTTGATTAGATCCTAGCCTTTCCCACTGACTAGCCAAAGCTTAATTTTTTTTAAATATAACCATGAATTGTGGAACCCCTAAAAGCAATCACACATAGTGGTAAGTTGGTCTGACTCTTACAGAAAAGGCAGCATATAAATTCATAATGACTGTGTTCTTTATTGTACAGCCACTTTATTGTACAGTAGATGACTAAGGCATGGTCTTGATTCTTGTCAATACCAAGATAAACAGGAGTTGAGACATGAGAAGAAAGTCTAACAGGCTCAAAAGTCCTATGTTCATTTTACAGTCACATTCTAGATCTGGAGACAATCTGGAAAACTCAATGGGTAGAGTTTAGTCATCAAATAAACTCCCTCAGTCTGTTACATATATACCTTAGGGAAAGACTCTTTGCAATTTGGAGTTAATCTCTTCCTTGTCAAAACTTTGATGACAAGATTATTAGATTGGCTCACCCGAAGTCATGAACATTTGGTAATTTTTTTTTTTTTACCTACAAAAGGCACACAGGGTCTAGTCAATATTAAAAGTAATTTTATTCTGAGTTTTGTGGTCTTTGCTGAAGTGGCTTTTACCTGAGGTAAAACCTTGTTTCCAATATAACAATCAAATCTTTTTGTACTAAGAGTATATATAGTCTTTAAAATCTCCTGTAGGTATAAAAGCCTGCTGAGTTTGGTGAGGACTCCAGCAAAGCAGGTCCTCATGCTGTATGGATAGCATGTTTTCCCTGACCTGTGATTTCTATTTTCCCATTTGGAAATGTTCCATAGAGGGATAAAGAGGAAACAGGGGAAGGAGAGAGCCAGGGATTAACCAAAACTATTTTAAATATGATTATTTTTAAGTTTGTGGCATAGTTTCAGGGTCTACTATCCAGTGAATACCACAAAGGCTGACTTAAATGTTGAGTCACTCGGCCTGAGTGCATAGTGTGTCCGTGCCCAGCAGGCAATCTGGAGATGGATTCTGCGACTCAAAGAGCTCAACATTAGAGACAGTCTGTCCCAATCTTACTCTTCAGCAGCCAGAGATTGAGGTTAAACTTGGGAGTACATATACAGTCACTGAATAAAAAGCATCTATATTTTCTCTCTATCTCCCCCTGTGTCTATCTGGCTGTCTTTCCCTCTCATCAACATCTGTCTATATCTATCTGTCATAAACCTGTCTCAGTCTTCTGTCATGCTCTACCCACTTATCGCTTCTCTCTTTCCTGTCACTACCATCCATCTGCTTACCTATGTATCCTCTATCTTCTTACTTATATATTATCATATCTGTCTGTATATCTGCTGTATGGTCTATTTGCTCTGCTTTCTCTTCCAATGTTCTTTGTGATAATTTTTTTTGATACCCCACTATTGATAAAGTGTCTTCAGACTTCAAAATTATGTTTGCACTTCTGAAAGATCTTGGCTTCTTTCTGGAATTTAGCTGTAGCTTTTCATCTTTATAAGAACCAAGTTCAGTTAATTTTGTGGAGCTTATGGATGGCACTCAACCTATGCATAGTCTACCAAGAACTTAATCTTAAATATTGACAGTTTCTATGGAACACAAACTTGGAGAACCAATTCACATTACCCAAGCCAATTTATAAAATCTCACAGAATGTTTTGGCCTGTAAATTTTAGAAGAGTCTAATTCTCTGTATATTAAAGTATGATACACACACACACACATATGTATGTATATAAAATTTTAAAATTGTGTTTTCTCTGATTTTGTTTCTATTGAACAAACTAGATTTCTTTGGGGAAATAAGAATGGTTGAACATGGAGTCCTTAATATTCATAGGTATTATCTTGTCTGCTTTTATTTGATTTCATTCAATCTACCTAGAATCTATGAGATATAAGCAATGCCTCTATTACTCAGCTGTGGGAAAGAGGAACCCTACCTTCATGGAGAAGTTGATCATTTAATTACATAGTTAGAAAAGACATGTCTAAGAAGAAAAGCTACCAGGCTCAGGCTCTATCTCCCTGTTTCTGTTCTCTCTCTCTCTCTCTCTCTCTCTCTCTCCATCTCTGTCTCTCTGTATATTTGCTTGTGTCTCTCTATATCCTTGTTTCTATGTCTTTGTCTCTCTGTTTCTCCCTCCATCCTTCCCTCTCTCCCTATGTTCAAACAGTGAGTCTTGGCTTCTCTTTACCTGAACCCAGGTTGGTAATTAATATATGTGGAGATTCAGACTGGTCTCTGCTACTGAGATGCAAATAGTTACGAGATAAAATGTTTGCTCTTTGTGCTTCTAGTTGCTGCTAGGCAACTCAGGCTTCATTTGAGAATTAAACTTGCCTATCTTTCCTGTAAGAAGAAATGCCCAAGATTCAGCAACCATACCTGATCAAATCTTGTCTCTTTGCTTTGTGTAACTAAACAGTGTACCCCTTATAAGTTTCATCTGTGGTTTTCCTGCTTCATCTGTGGCCTGGAAGTCCTGCTCTAACTTCTCCCTACAAAGCATGACACAGAGGCACTGACACAGAACAGAGTAGAAGTTTCAGAGTGAATTGGTATTCAAACTACCACAGACCAGAAGTCTATGTTGTCAAGAGACACAAAGTGCATTGGAAGGTTTGAGTATGGACCCTCAGGATAGAAAAGCCCACACCTACCATAAATCCTACCTCTGCTACCTTCTTTGGCATGTTGGAAGACTGAGCTTCCCTGTGTTTTGCTGCAGCCAGCTCGATCTTCAGTTCTGAGGCCTTCTCTTTAAACTCTTATTTCTGGCTCAAGAAAAGAGCTGTCTTCCAGGCTCAGGTCTCTGCTGTGGTACATGGAAAGGAAGGGGCTATGGGGAGTTCCCAGGAGGCTTTGATGTCATTTGCTGCTGGGGTCAAGAGCTTTGAGCTAGACTCTGGATGCGTTTTATGTCTAGCCTTTGGCCATCCAGGGATAGAGGACTTCATTTTAGAAACTGTAACCTATGGGCCTTGGTGTTTTTGAAGTTATGAAGGAATATTTATTACTTCAAAGAAAGGAAATGAAAAGAGAGTGGGGGAGACACTGTGTAAAGAGAGTGTGGCTGGACCTTCCCGCAAAGGTGGAAAGGACGAAGGGAAAGAGCTGTGTTGCTTTGACCACTGAAAATCGTAAAATAGCCCTAATTAAGCCAGTAGTTCAAATGAACCCTAGAAGGATGCTGCCAGGACTCAGGAAATCCCAGTCTGTGGACAAGAAAGAATTCTTGTTAAAATGGAAAACATGTTTTACTCTTTTAGCCACTTCAGAGGAGGTCCTACCAATTAGGTGAGCAATGCTCTATACCGGAACTATATCATTCTTAGAAGCCAAGAAAAAGCCACAGTAGCCGTCCCTGAAGACATTTATACAAGTAACATTATACATACTTCGCATGTTATGCACACACACACACACACACACACACATATATATAAACAGTGACTAAGAAAAAGAGCTACTACAGAATCTGAATATATATATATATATATATATATATATTCATTAATATATATGCAATTGTTTATATATGCAATTAATGAAAAAAGAGAGATCTTGAATTTGAAGAATATAGCAAGGAGGGGTATATGAGAGTGTTCAGAGGGAGAAAAAAAAGAATTGAAATTCATGTAATTATAGCATGATCTCAAAAATCAAAAGATACCCTTTTTTAAAATGCACACCCAACTTTGTAAGTTCCATATAAAAAGAATGGAATGCCTACATAGCAGAAGGAAAGTTTATGCATCATTCTTAGTAGAAATTAGAAGTGAAAAGCTATTATTGTACAGTATTGAAGTCTGTCACCTCAGAAATATATGTATATGTATATATATACGTATATATACGTATATATACGTATATATATACATACACACACACATATATATATACATATATATGTATGTATACATATATATATGTGTGTGTGTATATATATATATATATATATATATATATATATATATATATATATTCCTGGTAAAGGAGAGGTTCTGAAAAAGGGTATAGGAGGCAGGGAGATGGGTGGGGAGGATAACTATGATACCTGGTCTCATCTTCAGACAGATCAGAAGAAAGTAGCTAGTTTACCTAGATGGTGACTCATTGATCATCTTGTCTACTCCCTCCTTTAATGTCGAAGGGGATTGATTAATATAGAGAGGACTATTGTCTCTGCCAAAGCTCTCTGGAAAAATTTAAAAAGATAGCTCCAAGCCAGGCATGTTCTTTCTTTCCTGTGCTTCTAGTAATTGAACGATAGGGGCAGGACAATCAGGAGTTCAAGATCATCCTTGGGTAAATAGTGAATTTGAGCCCACCCTGGTCTACATGAGAAGTTTTCTCAAAACAAAACAAAACAACAAATAAACACATAAGCAAACAAACAAAATCAAGTTGTAGTGAATAAAAGAGAGGCATTAAACAGTTTTGAGAAAGGATGCTCCACAGATACTGATGATCTTCTTTCATCTCATCGAGCTCATCTTGATGCTTGCTGTCACGTTGGATCCTGTTGTGCTTACTCTGTGGTGTTTTCCATTGCAAAGAACAAAGTTCTTACTTGCAAAGAACTATTCTAGAATTATAGAGATAAGATAGGTACATGCCTTGCTTGTCTATAGAGACAGTGGCTCATACTGTGTGTCCTTACTCCTAGGTGTGTTTCGAAAGGCCTGGAGTTGCAGAAGCAATTTTCATTTTCTTGGCATCTGATGGCCTGACTCTTGGGGAACATCAGCAGGCAACAGTGACCCTTTACTTGATTGATGTCAGTGGAAGCAACCACTCTCTTGGTGAGCTGAGAATTATTTCTTTAGCACCACTAGTGGCTATTCCAATAGGCTCAGGAGTCAGTTTGATATTGACGTCTGAAAATGTTTGTGGTCTTGCATATGTCACATAGCTATAGGGAGGATAAACAGGTGCTACAAGGGTCTAAGCGAATGTCTCAGAATAGTATTCTTTACCTTATTTCTTTTCAGGAACCTATGGACTGTCATGTCAACATAATCCACTGGTTATCAATGTGAGCCATCATGCGAATGTCTACCCCCAATATACCTCCGCCATGCTGCTGAATTTTTCATCCCCACTGGTGGGTATCTCAGCAGTAGCTCTAAGGACATCCTCCCAGACCAGTTCTTCAGTTCCCAGTAACTGCATCGCAGAACAAACTCATCAGGGGAAGAGGTACAGAACTAGCTTTCCCCCCTTTTCTCTCAGTGCCCTTGTGACTGTAACGCATTGTTATTATGTAAGCTCATAGTGATATACAGTGGTTGCTTAATCATTAACTGGAAGGATGGATTTAAGAACTATCAAAAAGCTCTGATAATCAGGCAAAATATAACTTTTAGAAGTCAAACTTGGGCTTTTCAGATAGCTTCTTCTTTCCTTAGTTGAGTATAATATTTTTGTGAATATTTAACATCTTTACAAGGTCTTCACATCTTTTTTGCATATTTATATAAAGTCACTGACTTTAAACCAACATTTTTATTTAAACTCCCAAAAATTTTGTGCCAAAAACTCATTGTTCTCTAAGCAATTTATATTTGTTTACTTGTTCCCACCTGGACAGTGTTTACAGCAAACTTAAGAATCACTTACTAAGGCATATCACATGATCACAAGACCGCATGTAGACATTGGGAATGTATCAACTATATATGCCTTTCTCAGGGCATTCATGATTGTTATCATCTAGACAGATGAAGATCCCTGGATTCTTAGCAGCAGCTAGAAGAACGGTTATACTTTAAAGTATTTCTGTACCTACTTTTCGAGGTAGGGAACACTTTAAACAATCTATTTTACAGGCTGGATAGAATGATTCTTTCGGTGGTCTAATAGATCAGTGGAACCAAAGGGTAACAGATAAATTTCCTGAGAAAGTGAGGTGAGACCACCTGCTAGGTGACCCAGAACCTAATTACAAAAAACTAGTGTTGTAAGCGATGTTCCATTATATACCACAGTGCCACTACATCCATCCCAGTTATATGAGAAGCCTTCTCTGAGAGTGATGCAGAGTAGATAATGCTAGTAGGATATATTGATTTTCTACTGATCTATAGCAAACCATACCAAAATATAGTGATTCAACACCTTGATATGAAATGGTTTCTGAGGGTGATAAATTTAGATGCAGCTCAGAGATCTATCATAGGCTTAGGCTCACTTATGAGGGTGTGATTGAGCTGTTGACCAAAGATACTCAAAGGAAGTTGGGGAATTCACTTTGAATTCTGTCACTGTGACAACTGGTAGCCTCAGAAAAGCTATACCCAATAGATACGAGCAGTGGTCAATCACACGTGTGACTCAGTTTGATCCATATAAGACTCTCCATAAACTGTTTGAGTGTATTAGATATGGTAGCTAATGATCCAAGAGAAAAAGAAGCCCAGGAATGATGGATATGAGAGACATTTCCCAAGAGGGAAGCCATAGCCATTTTTATAACCTAATGGTAAGAATGGCAGATCACTACTTCTGAAATGTTTGATTCACTAGACATGAATCAGAGTCTACCCATGATCTGGTATAAAACACAAACCCCTGGGGAAATCTGAGAGGCCATCTACTCCATATAGTGATTGTTGCTTGTGTTAACTGAGTAGTAACTAGATGCTAGGTGTTATGTTAAGTGTCAGAAAGCAAAACATATTGAGAAACAGTGTGGATATTGGGAATTTTATCATTAACTAGTTTATCCATAATTTTTATACCTTCTTAGAAGGTATCTTCAAATCTTCACACAAGATGTATACTATTAAAATATCATTGTCTTTCATAGTTATCACCTCCTTCTCAAGTATTTTCAAGTTATTTTCCATATCGGCTCTGTGTCTGGCCTTAAGCCACACAGCATTCCTTTCAGGTCCTTGAATCATGTGTTCTCAATGAATCTGTGCACATAATGTTCCTACTCTTTTGAATGTCATCCAGTCCTTGTCATTTCAAACTGCATCATCGAGACTCCCATCCTGTGAAGCTCTGTCAAGCTTCTTCATTGTTTTCTTAGGTCAATTGTACCAAAGTGGCCACCACATTGTGTGGTAATAATTTCTTTACTATGTGTTTATCCAGATTGAATTCTGGGCTCCCTGTAGTGGAACTCTTGCTCAGTATTTTTTAGTGCCTAGTAGAGAACCTGACACATAGTAGGTATGAGAAATTTATGTTGCATGGCAGTTGTTTTTAATGCCCTATGGAGCAGAGCTGAAGAAGAAAAGCAACGAAGAAAAGCAGAAGTCCCAGCCTCTCCAAACACAAAGGATCAGGATTGCCCTTTGCATCATAACTGTGAAAGTTCAAGAAGGAAGCTAATTAATTGTGATCTCTGCTGCTGGTTCTTCATGTATTTTCATGTGGCACTGTGAGAAAAACAAGTTTTATATGCGTGCATGCAAGCCAGTGGAAATAGGATATGATTCTCCAGTTTACACTGAGTACATCTGGAATGCATAAACATTTCCAAACCACATGTGACTGACAGGAGCCATGAAAATTGGTTTTTCCTTCACAGCCAGCAGATCAGTACAATATAGTACATTTTTATACACGGGACACATAAGGAGTCTCATGTATTTTTCTCATGAATATATTTTAAATGAGAATTTTTTATGCACTTACAAAATAGAAGTCTTCGGTGGAAGTAGTACATCAATCATTGTTGTATGTATAGATACCCAATAAAATGAAACACTCAAATTCTATGTATTGTAAAAAAGGGGATTTCTGGCTACTTCCTTATGCCTTATGACCCAAATTCGTTAATACTTAGGTGGATAAAGGGAGAGTTGGCATATGCCTGATAATACATGTTATCCATTTTGTATTAACTATTAATGAGCCATAACCAATCTCTTCTAGAATAGTATAACTTTCTTTCAGCTTGACTAATGCATTGAATCTCAGTTGAAAGCCAAAAGTCATAAGTCTGGCTCAATGGTGACATCTAGTATTTTTTCTTTGTCCAAAGTAATTTTTCCATGCATCCCACTGAAATCCTAGCAATACAGTTTAAAAAAAAATACATGAAATGCAGATAAAAAAGAAAATCTAAATTTTGCCCCAAGAGTCTGGTTGTAAGAAGTGTAGTGGAGTTAAATTAAGAAACATCAATTTAAGGCAAGTCATATGCTTATTACAGTCTCAATCAACAAGAGAGTGGGTGTGGAATGGAGGTTACCTGGTATAGTGCTGGTCTATCATCAATGAGACCGAGTTTTATTCCTAGCATTGTCTATAAAGGGCATTGTAACATAAGCCTGTAAGCCCAACTGTGGGAAAGTAGAAGCAGAAAGGTCCAAGGTCATCAATATCATTGTCAGCTACACAGTAAGTTCAAGGCCACTGTGGGCTATATTTGGAGCTCTCTCTCTCTCTCTCTCTCTCTCTCTCTCTCTCTCTCTCTCTCTCTCAATTAAGACATATGGATCACTTTGGACATTTTTCTAGGTGAGCAGTATTGTTTATTTAGAGAAGAGGTCAAGATCATAGACAAAGCTGGGAGAAGACCACAAGATTTTAGGGGTAAAATATAGCAAATATACACTGAAATATTAAAGCATTGGAACGGCTTAGACAACACAAAGTCTTAGGATAAAAAGAAGGAAGAGAGGAAAGACAGAAGAAAGGAAGATGCAAGGGAGTGGAGAGGAAGCACCTGTTGGCTTTGATGTCGCTTAATCTCGTTCACCTTATGATGGATGCCCAGTTTCTGACTCTTCCAGCTTACTCTACTGATCAGGAACCCATAAGCTTTGAAGATCATGGGCTTCTTTGTTTGGGCCATGAACAGTCAATAAGTACTAAGACCATTCTTGTCCTCACACTCTTTCTGTCCCTACTTACTTTATAGAAAAGTCCCAGTTAACTCATTACATGTATGAGAATCAGATGACTCCCCAGTCATAGGACTATGCCAATGACTTTGGTAAATAAACCCATCTTTTTGTTATGCAAGGGGCATTTGGAATTAATATGCTGTCTATGCAAATAGTTTAAAATGTTAAAGATCTGGACTTTGGAAATTCACAAGGTGAAAATTAAATGAATTTATCAATAGACAGGAATTGCTGTTGAACATGCTACTTCTCCTTCAGCAAGGCATTTGTTCTTCCAGAAACATGGATACAGTAGAAAAATTGACTGCAATCCCTTTGATCATGATTGATGACATATCCACAGGTTCTCCAATGTTGAATATCTGGAGATAAAACATACCATCCCATTTCCCAGGACATGAGTTGATATTGATGACAACATTTAAAGTCTTTTCAACTTGCCTAAGTTTCTCGATCTGCTTGTCCTACATTGGGTGAGAAGTTAGTATAAGACTTCCAGACAACAGTTCTTCTTTCTGTTTATCCCTGACTTTCCAGCAGCATTAGCACTCTCTAATTTGATGTTTCATAATTAGGTGTGTGGCTTATTCTGAGCGTTTGTTCTTTGTTAAGCTCCTACCTCCTGCCAATCCTTTTGCTTCTTCTGTGTTTGGCTTTGAATTCTACTTTGTCTGGAATTAAAATTTCCATTCCTGTTTTCATTTTGTTTGCATTTGTTTGATAAATATTTGTCTCTCTTTCATTTTCAACCTTTCTTTATCTCCGCTGCCAATAAGCCCAGGGCCCATTGCTTCATTGCATTGTTTACAAAGATACTAGTAGTACCATGTCAAAGCATGCCAAGTTCTATTCTGAAAAATCATCTTCTAAACTTTAAGCCTCTAGTGGCCTTTAGGGTGCTATAGAATTTTCGCCTTTAGACCATTCACCCTCAACATGCAAAGGCTTCAAGCCAATGGCTCAAATCATCCTCTTAGTCTTATTCTTTTGCCTACCTGATGTTTTGAGCTGAGTTGAGGATAGTGTTGATAAGGATGATGGGTAGAGAACAGCTCTCTGATCAATAGAAAGTAGTGATCATGTATCTGGTCTTTAAAGTAGGGCTGGTAAGAAAGAAAGGGTGACTTGTTTAACTGTTTTAATCTTTTCTGGTTTCATATGTATATATATTTTAGAACTTGGAATTGAAATTGAAACAGTGCTTAGATCATGCTAAGCAAGTGTCTGCCACTCAGCTGTATCCTAAGCTCTCTTCACCTCTTTCAGTAAGGAGGAAAACACAAAAGAAAGAAGAAATATCTGTTCTTTCCTTTAGTATAGTTCTTATCCAGACCT